GAGGCAGTAAGGAGGACTGGTTTATATATGTCCAGCCAAAGAGACCAGCTCATGGTGACACTAGGTGTTGGAGATGAGTCAAAATGGAGCCCACAACACAACCCACCACAGTGCTCAAAGGTGAGTCAAAGTGTGCCCCACAGGTTTTTTTTGGATTTTGAGCACACTGGTTTCCAGGGTGTTTTTTCACGAGACTCTGAAGTTCAGAGTGGTTTCGTGTCGTTTCTCTGATTTGTCAGAGTAAACTTAGTTTTTGAAGTAAAAACACTGATGTGTGAGTGTAGTTTTGGTGTCAAGACTGATGTTTCATGAAATATTGCGTTAATGTAGTTCTGGGCTCCCACGGTGTTTAATTGAAGGGTGTTGTAACGAAACGAGATAGAATTATTCAATGTATATTAACTTTGAGAGGTACATAGCACAGACTAAACCTCTCACCCCTCCGAGGTAACTTGCTCCCTAGCAACCTCAAGTTCATTATCTGAGTCAGATTCACCTGTTGGTTGCAGGTCGGAATGGCGCAGGTGATTTTGCAGGGCGACGCTTTTTCTGCTTCCGCCAGATGTCCACGACATCTGGCCACTCCACGTTGTAGTCCAGCATGTGGATGCTCATGAGTTCTGTCAGACGCGCGTCGTTGAGAGTCGTGCGCTGCCAGCTCTTGATGATGTTTTGGCGCGAAAAGCTACGTTCACACTCGACGGTGCTTATTGGCAGGACGGCCAACGCCTACCACATGGTCACGATGTTGGGGTAAGTGCGTTGCCAGTCGCGAGTCTCCAACATGTTGGTGAGCCCCTGGAAGAAGTCCTCGTCCTCGTGGTGGTTCTTCAGTTTGTGACAAAAAAAAATCAGCTCCAGTTCGGCTGCCCGCAAATCAAAACCTGCCACATCAGTGGGCACGAATGTGCATGTATAACATGCGAAATTAGATTTGTGGCAACGACCAGAATAAACAATTGTAAAAATCAAACTTCGAATGTCTTTCGTAACACCCGGAAAAACAAATTTGCAGTGCCTTACATACCTGGCAGTTGGTTGTTGAACTGAACAGCTGGCACATCGTCGCGCACGTGTTTCCTATTTTGGTGGCCACTTATTGACTATGAACAGCTTCGTGCCGCCCAGCCGCCTCAGATCTCGCATTCGGTGCGTCAGATTGTAGACGACCTCCTGGGAGAATGCCTTGCACAGCTTCACGCAATCTGCCACGGTGCCGCCGTACTTGTGCCCCAGGATGCGCTCCTCGCTGAGCTGGATGACATGACAGGCAACACGGCCGCTAACTAAGAAAAACATACTCGTAGTTAGTGATTGTGAAAAAAATTAGTTAAACAACTTTAACAAAATTTTAGGGACTTACTATCCGCCGCTGGAAAAAGCGGTTCAGCGAGTTCATCTCCCCCAAGATGTCTGCCAGAAAATACAGACAGAAGTGGTAATTCAAAGTCTGCACCACTGGCGCGATCTTGTGATTCCACTCCAGTAAGACAACGATCGCCGCCCCCAAGATCTTGACCATGCGCAAAATTGCATCACCCGGGAGAGCCAACGCACGTCGTCCAGTCCCTGGTGCTCCAGGTTGGTGCTGTGGATCACTTGTTGCAGCTCCTTGAACCTCTCGTGCCAGGGCGTGGATTTTCCCACGATCTCGCCAACCGCCCTTATCGACTTATCCACAATTGCCAAGTCATGGAATTTCTCCGCCGATTCCTTGACAGCCAGAGCTTCATTGCACGAGTAAGTAGACGACACTTGTGTACGTAGGTTATAAAGTATAGTGTGATAAAAGTTTTGAAAATAGACTAACATGCAATCAAATTTAATCTTACGTACCGATGCGCAATGCAGTGAACCCCGACCAGATGGGGGATGCGCAGCCGCAGTCTTGTCACAAGGCCTGACGTGCCACCGATCATCACAGCTGCGCCGTTGGTGGAAATCCCTGAGATCTTCCGTAAATCGACGCCAATGCTCTCGAGATGCTGGAGTAGAACTGCAAGCAGCGAGGCAGCATCACACTGTTCGAATGTTAGTAACGCGAGAAACTCGGTTTCAACCACCCGGTTCTTCAGGAAAGTGGCAAACACAATCATGTGTTTGCCACACGCGCGGTCGGTACTCTCGTCACACATAATGCCGATGAAGGATGAGGCGTGCAGGTGTCGGAGCTGCTCTCTGCTCAGGTACGTGGTCAGAGCTCTGGCCATTTCCGCGAAACCGTACCTGACACAAGATGTAAACAAAAAAGGAAAACGTATTAGGACAATTAACAACACGAGGCAATGTTTTATTAAATACTTCAAACGGTGAACTCACTGGGTGATGTATACGCCGTAGCTCTGACACGGGATGTCAGCGGCACCCTCCTCCGCAAGGAACTGGACAATCAGGGGGAACATGTGGATGGGCGTGTCGGTGCGGCACACGAAACGAATGGCCCGCATGAGGCGCGCGACGTGAGAGCCTTCGGGATCGCCATTCGAGAAGTCGGCGATTTTTTTCAGATAAGTGATTTTCTTCATCAAATTCGCCTGCTTCTTCATCGCGTCTTCATGCTTCATGCTGTTCTCGTACCACCGCATGGAGCCAAGCTGCAGATAACGTCCGCCGGCGCCATTTTGGCCGTATCGCGCGTTATCCAAGTGCTCCATGCACACACTGCAATGCATACACGGCTCGCCTTCGAGGGTCTTGTCAAGAATCAACCAATCGAACTTCGGGAGCCATTCCGAGGTGTAATTCTTGTGAGCTTTCAGGTAAGCCTTCTCTCTCTTCTCCAAGTCGGAAAGGGGACAAATGGGGGGTGGTACAGCGGCGGGAGGCGGAGCGGGGGGTTTCGGCGGCAGGGTTCCCCACTGCAGCACTTGCTGCATCATTCGTCGCTTTTTCGGGGCCATTGATCCCGTCGACTCCGGAGTGGCGGCATCAATGACTTGGGTTGGAACCGTCGCGGCTGGTTCAGCAGGTTCCTCCGTTCGCGGCGATGCCACCCATTCCTCAATGCCGTCGGAATCTGCAGCCTCAGGTTCCCTGTGTGGCGATCGACACCAGAAGTCGATACCGTCATCCGCTTCGCCACCTTCTGGGCGAGTGCGTCGCACCCATTCTGTACCGCCGTCACTAGCCTCGTCATCGTCGCACATTTGCGCCTGATGTAAACTACGGAGAAACTGAAACCCAGTCATTGGACGACTGCTACACAATGGCCTATCATCCGGATCAGCCGCGTCTGCATCGGCATCAGTATCCATGGTGCGCGGGGCTGTGCCTTGAAACCCCACTGAGAAAAAGCTAGGCTGGTGCGATGGAGTGCTCATCAGTGGAAAGGGAGATAATGGGAAAGAATGTGGGGTTTGGTGCTAACCTCGTCAGCCAGCCGAGCAACAGACCTTTCGCTACGCGCCGCACACGAAAGTGGGGCCGCAGAGAAACCTGGTGAATGCTGCCTGTAAGGTTGGGGATGTACATCGAGTGCGGTTTACAAAAATCCAGCTAAGTATACGGTGGGTGGCTCTCAGCGTGCGCTGGCCCGAAAGATGCCCTACCAGCCAATCAACGTACAAGATGGTGCCAACACACGCGAAAACCAGAGGGATTTCCGGTGCGATTGGGGTAAAAACCGGTAACGTGGGGATTAGGGGGGGAACAGATGTTCGGCGATACATGTATCCTCTGCACAGAGTAAAATCGGTATCCGTAAAAAAAACCCTGGGACATCAGAGGGCCTAACATTACTACTCTGACAAATCAGAGAAAACAGAACTCTCAAAAAAAATACCTAGAAAGTACAGAGTGACCTTGCAAAAACCACCCTGATTTTCAGAGAAACAGAGTGATTTACACTGATAAAAAAAGCCCTGATGTGAGCGTATTTGCTGAAAAATATTCCTGGCCACTCCAGTGTGAACATGTGGGTTAGCAATGGCTGTAGCCACCAGCCAAAGCTCTGCTTGTGAGAAAAATCCCCAGCTACCCGTGGAAACATATACAGATGATATTTTGCCTGGAGAAAACATGAAGAAGTACATCCGCTGCCCTAAAAATTCAGGATACAGTTCATTTTTGCCCTGAAAAGCAAGGGCCTTCTTGAAAAATCATACCCTGATGGCTCAGGATGCCTAACATCCTCGCACAGGCCCTGATCAGTATCCATAACAGAGAATACTACAGTATGTACAACCATACCCTCTGAGGAACTGAATACCTATTTCAGTGTGTCACAACAGAGTTACTAGCAAGAAGACTACCACAGTAGACCTTCAATGTCGATCATTCTTCTCTTTCTTATCCAAGCATCTAACTGTCACACTTCTATTAGCTGTCCTTCTAACTGTTCAAATGGCCTTACTTGTGCCGCTCGTCAAACGGGTTGCTCAGGTTCATGTTGATGTTGATGCTGATGTTGTTGATGCTCCGGATCACACCCCTACCCTCTCCTCTCCCCTCTCCGTGCCTGCAGCACGATCACCGGGACAGCTGCTGCTACGTCTGCTCCCCTCGGCACCTTACTTGTGCCGCTCATCCAACGAGTTGCACTGAGTAATGAGACGCCTGAAAGCTGTTCACATGGCCTTACTTGTGCCTCTCGTCAAATGGTTTGCTCAGGTTCATATTGATGTTAATGCTGATGTTGTTGATGTTTCTGATCACACCCCCACTCTCTCCCCTCTCCGTGTCTGCTGCACCATCACCTGGGCTGCTGCTACCACGCGCACCACTGGTGTTACGATTAGAAGCACTGTAGTGAGGCGGATTAGAAACACTGTACTGAGGCGGATTAGAGGCATTGTAGTTATGCAGATTAATGCTGGAGGAAGAGGCTCCTGCAGCTTCTCTGGCAGCAGCAGCAACAGAAGCAGGACCGGGACCAGCATCACCAACGCCACCAACAGCAGACCCAACAGCAGTAGCAGCGGCAGCAGAAGCAGCAGCGCCACCACCAGCAGCAGGAGCAGCATCACTGACAGGCGGAAGGGTGCTGCGCTGATTGGCCTGCTTCACCCTGCTCTTCCTGCTGCCACCTGTTTTGGGGGCAGAGGACGACTGGCTGGCAACGGCAATGTGGTGCTGGCACAGCAAGAAGCCCTCTCTGGCCATGCGCTTGCACACCCACCCCTTGCCGTCTGTCCTGCTGCATCTCCTACCCACCCCCTGCCCGCTTCCACCTGCTCCTGCTCCTGCTGCGGCTTCACCCCCCCTTCCTGCTCCTGCTGCGCCTGCTGTTGCTGCTGCTGCTGCTGCTGCTGCTGCTTGGCCTGCTCCTGCTGCTGCTCCCGCCCCTGTGAGCCCTCCAAATGTCCCTGTTCCTCGCCCTGTCCCTCTACCTCTCCCTCCTCCCACTTTTCCACCCTGAAATCTCCCACTCACATCAGCGGAAGCAGCAGCACCACCACCACCACCACTTGCTGCTGGTGGGGACCGTGCTGCTGCTGCTGCAGCTACCGCTGATGCTCCTACCTCTGCTGCTGCTGCCACCGCCGCTGCAGCTGCTGCCAATTCTGCTGCTGCCGAGTGCAACGCGGCATTCGACAGAAACGCCGATGCGGAAGCACTAGCAGCTGATCCGGCCCTCCCTGCCGCCCGGATGACATCAGAGAGCCCTAGAGCCAGCATAGTTGCATCATCAAGGCGGATATTCGTGCCCCACCCCCTGCCTGCTTCTCCCTGCCCTTCACTGCTGCCTATTCCTCCCTGCCCTTCCCTCCATCCACTTCCACCGCTCCCCCCATACTGCATCCCACCCCTGAAAGCTAAAGTGCTGGCAACAGCACCAGCATTGGCACCTTCCTCCCCACCTCCACTTCCTCCTACTTCTCCTCCTCCTACTCCTCTTCCCACTCCCCATGCTGATGCTTTAACCCCTGCACCTCCTCCTCTTCCCACCCCTTGCCCTCCCATTGGTGCTCCCAATTGTTCCGCTCCTGCTGCTTCTCCTCTCGCGCTGGTCGCCCCATGCTGGTCGCCAATGCCCGAGTGGAATAACGGCAGGGTGGCCGTTCTGATGCTGTGGCCACCACCAGCAGAGACTGAGGCAGAAGATGCAGCGGCAGCAGCGGCAGCAGGAGGAGGAGGGGGAGCAGCGGGAGCAGAAGCCGCAGCAAGAGCAGCACTGTCACGGGTACACCAAGAAGTATCAGCACCGCCACCGCCACCGCCACCGCCACTGCCACCAGCAGCAGCAGTAACACCAAAAGCACGGGCACTGGCACCGGCAACGGCCGCCGCCGCCGCAGCAGCAGCAGAAGCCAATGGTGGGATCCGCTGCAAGTCAGAGGTAGCAGCAGCAGCAGCAGCAGCAGCAGCAGCGGGTGCATACGAAGAAGCAGTAGGGTCGGAAGCAGCAGCAGGGTTGGGAGATGAGGGAAGGCCCAGAGAGAGCGAAGGGGGAGAAGGGAGGAACGACGGAGGGGCAGACCGGACGAATGGCCAGGTGGGAGGTGGCGAGAATGGGTGCGGGAAGAGAGGCACGGGCGGAGGCAGGGCAGGAAAGGGGTTGGAATCTAGGAGGCTTGGAACGGGGGGGCGTGGGTATGGGGGCGCTAGTGCGGGTGGTGGGGGAGGGAAGAGTGCGGAGAGTGGTGATTGGTGTGGAATTGGGGGTGGGAAGAGGGAGGAATGAGGGGATTGGTGGGGGGGTGGGAAGAGAGGAGGAAATTGGTGTGGGGGTGGGGTTGGGAGAAGAGAGGGATGGGCCTGCTGGGTCAAGACTGCATGGGAGGGTGCGTGAGTGGAGGATGGCTGAAGGGATCTTGCCTCGAGAAGGGGTGCTCGTGGTGTTGGTGGGGGAATGGATGGAGTGAAGCCTGAGAGCAAGTGGAGCTTGCTTGCCAGCGCTCCTGCCCTCTCCTCCTGCCGCTGCTGCTGCTGCTCTCGCTGCTGCTGCTGCTGCTGCTCCCGCTGCTGCTGCTGCTCTCGCTGCTGCTGCTGCTGCTGCTCTCGCTGCTGCTGCTGCTGCTGCTGCTGCTGCTGCTGCTGCTGCTGCTGCTGCTGCTGCTGTCGCACGGTGCGCCTAAGGTGCTCCAGGAACGGAGACTCGACAAACTGAGCCGCACCCAATCGTGCATCGCGCGAGCTAGAATCAAAGTGTTGCAGAAACTTCTCCAAGCTGGGAGTCGCTGCTGGTCTTCCTTCTGCTACTGTTGCGCCTGATCCACCACCAGCGCTTGCAGTAGCAGCAACAGCTGCAGCTGCAGCAGAAGCAACAGCAGCCGCATTTGCAACGGGGGGAGTAGCAGCCACGGCAGAAGCAGCAGCAACTGCTCCACGAACATTCCCGTCTAGGCTGTAGGCAGAAGCGGCACCAGCAAAACCAAGAGGTTCAACAGATGCTATATCAGTGCCAGTGCCTCTCCCTCCTGTGATTGCTGTTGCCCCTTCAGCCAGAAAACCTCCTCCCTGTTCCATCAAGTGTACCTGCCCTGCTAGTAACGCCCTTTCCCCTTGCACAATCTTTTCCTTTCCTGCCGAAAAACTCCCCCCCAGAGTCAGAGCAATACCCTCGTCCTCAGCCAATCCCATGCTGCCACGTGTCCTATTCACCACACTGTTCAGATGCGCCACCTGATTCGCAAGCTGGGGGTTTGCCACCCCGTCCCCATCAAAACTAAACCTCTCCGCCTTACCCCCTGCACCCCCCTCATCCCCCCCCCCCCCATCATCACCCCACCTCTCTGCCTTACCCCCCTCACCCTCCTCACCCCCACCAGGGTCCCACCGTTGCAGCTCCCCCCTCTCACCTCTCAACCTCTCCCCTTTCCTCCTATCGCGTACTGACACCTCTCCCCCTCCCTCTCCCACTCCCACTCGTTTTTCCCCCGTCTCTACCTCACGCCAATGAAACAACTGTAAGGCTTTCCCAACATCACCACCACTACCAGTAGTGGCAGTAGCAGCAGCAGCACCACCACTGCCAGTAGCACCAGCAGTAGCTGCAGCACCACCACCAACTGCACTAGCGACAGCTGTACTAACACCCTGCTCTGCTGGTGTTCCACCAAACCCACTGACTCCGGTTCGCTGCATCTGGACTTGTGCTAGGTTCCTCACGACACTCGTACCCCCTACAAGATGTCCTGCTAAAGCGCCGAGTGATTGTCCTTCTCTCGGGTACATTCTTATCGCATCACCTCGGATCGGCGGGCGCCCTTCTAGCGCATCAGATCGTATCGGGCGCCCTGGTATATGGTGCTCTGCTATCGAATCAACTCCTATCGTTCCCGCTACCATTGCCCCGCCTCGTATAGGTTGCCCTAGTATACGGTGCCCTGGTGTAGACTGCTCTAGTACTATCGCGTCACCTCCTACTGAATCCGCTTGTATACGTTGCTCAAGTACCGCGTCCGCTGCTAAGGGCCGCCCGCCATGCTGCCTGTGCCAGCTGGCAGTGAGCATGAGGTCCATCTGGGCCAGAGGGCTCTCATCTCCCCTCCGCTGCTGCTGCTGCTGCTGCTCACGATGGGTTAGCTCATTATGCGCGACAGAGGGGAAGTTTGGAGCCGTCTCAAACCGCAATAGCCTCCCCACGTCTTCCCTCCGCTGCTGCTCCTGGGTGTGCTCATCAAACGCCACTAGGGGGAAGGGGGGCGCTAACGCCGTTCTTGGGCCACTATGTGTGAGGGAAACGGGGCTTATAGTTTCTCCCTGCTGCGCCGTTTGAGTCACCTCAGGGCTCATCAGGCTGAATGGGGGCAGAGAATTCGTCCCTGCTGCTGCCCCTGCTGCTGCCCCTGCCCCTACCCCTGCCTCCGCCCCTGCTCCTTCCCCTGCCCCTTCCCCTGCACCTGCACCTGCCTCTGCCCTTGCGCCTGTGCCTATGGAATCCAGCTGTGATCGGATGCGATTCAGGGAGTGGAAGAACCGCACACTCTCAGCAGCGCGTGCTGCTTCTGCTGCTGCCGCTGCCGCTGCTGCTGCCTCTGCTTCTGAAACTTCATCAGCAGATTTCACGCCCTCCCCTTGCCCGTACCCCCTTTGCACTGGCTCAGCTGTCACAGGTTGTATATGCGCCCCTACGAATCCGTGTGTTCTAAGCGCTACAAAACTGTCCGCTTTGGGTGCTAGTGTTGAACCACCTCTTATGGGGGATACCAAACGGTGCGCCATAGTTCTCCCCTGGGATAGAGGACCAGGTGACATCATGTGAGAACCTGAGTGTTGCCCCTCATGGGGTTTCACAGGGCTTGGAGAATTCTCGGGAGGAGGACCCGTAAGGGCCTTGAGGGGGCTTTGGGTGATGTGCTCCTGCAATTGCCTGTTCACCTGCTGCTTCCATTCTTCCTCATCCTTGCTCCCAAGCCTTTGTAGCTGCTGCTGCTCGTTCTCCCTCCAATTGCGTGAGTTTTGGTGCTCTTGCCGCCATCCCAACTCCAGCTTTGGCTTCTTCCGCACTTGCTCCCCCTCCTGCACAGTGCCCCCCTCTCTAACACCCCCCTCCTGCACAGCACCCTCCTCCGCCCCATCAAAGCGGGCTTGCCAACCTTCCACTTTCGCGCCCAGGCCACGCTCTCCCCTGCCTACAAGAGGTTCTTGAGCGCCATCCAACATTCTCTCTGTCCCACGTGCCTCCGCTCTGCCTGACCTCCATATCCGCCCAACCCTCTCACTAGACCACCAAAGCTGCCCTCCCGTCTGCCCTTCCTGCTCCTGCTCCTGCCGCTGCCCCCCTTCCTCCCTTTGTCCCTCGTTCCCCTGCCGCTGCTGCCCCCATTCCTTCTTCTGTCCCTCCTCCACCCGCCACTGTTGCCCAACCTGCTCTCTCTGGTGTTGCCACTCCATCCGCTCCTGCTGCTCCTCCCGCTCCTCTCGCCGGTTCTCCACCTTCTGCTTCTTCTGTCTCGCACAAGCATCACCAGAAGCACCTGAGGCATCACCAGAAGCACCTGGTAATCCACCTGAGGCAACAGAGGGGGCTAGACTCAGTCCTGCTTGCCTCCACTCCCCTCCACTGCCCTCCCTGCTTCGTTCTCTGCTGAGATGAGAACCTGCTGAAGCGGAGTGCGAGGTAAGGAAAGGGTTGAGCCGTGGAGGGGCACGTGATGCCTGCTGCTGCTGCTGCTCCTGCTCGTCTCTCTCGTCCCTTTCATCCCCGTTGCAAGCTTCACCCACCATTCTTTCCTCCACCGCACGAGCTGCATCATGCTCCGCACCAGCTCCTATCTCCTCCGCGCCCCCAAACACTCTATCACGTAGAAAGGGACCGGACGCGCCAGGTGATTCTTCAGGTGATTTTTCAGGTGTTGTATCAGGGACGTTGAGGTCCACAGTAGAGGGGCGCATCTCCTGCCCATAACAGACAGAGGAGGAGGAGGAGGAGGAGGAGGAGGAGGAGGAGGAGGAGGAGGAGGAGGAGGAGGAGGAGGAGGAGGAGGAGAGAGAGGGTGAAGGAAGGAAGCGTAGCAGTCAGAGGAGGAGGAGCAACAAAGGCACACAAGCAACCAGGAGGGACGGGGTGAGGAGGGAGGGGGAGGGAGGGGGGGGACGGGAGGTTGAAAGAGTGGGGAGAGTGGGTGAAGAGGAAAGTAGTAAATAGAGCGAACATATGATGCGGTTCACGATTTTGAGGCCCCAAGAGGGGTGAGGAGGAAAGAAAGTCGCAGAGCAAGCCATAACAGGCCTAGTGTTGACTTGCAAAAGCTCTAAGACATAATTGCATCTCCATCAGGGAAAGGAAGTGAACCATGCGGGGCAGTGCTGGTGGGTCATGCGAGAGATGGGAGGCTTGCACATAGTCAATGAGTGAAAAAATAAGCACAAGCAGATGGAAAAAATAAATATCTGAAGCCAGAACGACTTGCTAGTAGGAGGCTATCTGCTCTTGCCTCCCTGCTTCTGAAATATCATTGATCCTTCACATCTCGAGTCCAATCCCCCATCTCGCGCATCTAGTGTCTCTTCAGCATCCTATTTCCAGCACAGAATATGTGTTTCATGGCCTCATCCCCATCAATCTCTGGAAGAGCACATCAGCCTCTCACTCTCTCAGACCCATCATCCGGATGCCTCCAATCCCCAATGAGTCATTCCCACTCCACTGATAATTCCTCACCTCTTTCCCTTTCCGCTGAGGCGCTTTTCCCTGTGTGTGCAAGTGAGGTAGCCTGGGAAAGAAGGTGGAAGGCACGAAGGCATGGCGGAGAGTATGGAGAGAGCACGGCTGAGGGGGGATCCATGGACACATGGGCCGCGAGCAACAAAAGAAGAACGGCTCGTTGTGATCTCCTGGCGGGGCAATGACATCATCGTTGTGCATGATGTCGTCACTGCGCATCACGGTGATTTTCTGGCGGGGCCTGGAAAACCACGAGGCTACCCACCAGTAGGTATTATCGTGACCACCATCATATATTTGGAAGCCGTCACTCTGTGGCCCTTTTGAGATTTGGAATATTCCAGTAGTCCTGCTATGCTATTTAATAGCATATCTAAATTACTAAGTCCAACTCTCACATGTTCCTTTCGGAGGCTTCACCATGGCGCTGCCGCCTGGCGTCCACATCAGCATCCTGAACAAAGAGACGCGAGGACTCGCTCTGTCATGCTCCTCCGATATACAAAGTGAACCTTACGGCGAAAAAAAAAAAAAACGCACACAAAAACAAGGGTTTCCAGTCTGGATTCACGTGGAAACGAAGCGAGGAGCTATGCTTTTACGCGGTGCGTTTTCGATATGTGACATTTCTTACACAATTTTCCACAATCTTGTTTCCCTTCAGATCTTCTTCGAGAGGTTCTTCGCTCCTACGTTTCTGTGCTGGCCCGCTATCGCGTGGTGCAATGAGTGCTCGTTTCCCGCGCATTCGCATGCTCTCCGAATAAGGGTTTCGTTTCGTCAACTACTTAACCAGCGTCCTTGACTGCAGAACCTGGTTAGTAAGGCACCGAGGGACGACATACAATTCAACGCGGCTGGCGTTACTGGCAAGATTGGAGCTGTCGAGGCAGCAAGTTCCCCCACTCCTGCCACATGCGCTGTGCTGCCACCGCCTTTGGCTCAGGACCTTTTATGTTATCTGATCGCCCACATGCGATGTCACTCGATGGTTACCAATGGCGGGTTGGTCGTGGTTCGATTGCAGGAGCAGGTTTGATCTGTGAGATGTGGAGAAGAATGAGCAGCGTCGTTGGGCCCCTCCCACGCGCAATCAGATCAATTCGGTGGCGATTCTGCGGGAGGAATCAGTAATGCACCATTCGCCCTTCGAGATGCGGCTCCCGATATATTTTCGATGGGCAGATACAAAACAACTTTCGAGGTTGGGAAGAGAGTGAGAGGCAACTTTCCTCCTCCGGTCGGGTGGATGTAGCGCCCAACCGCCTATTTCTGGCCTTGACACCATTCTTCAACACTGCAGGGTTTCAGGGCTGGTGTTGTACTTGCCCCAATAAATCCCGCTAAACCCAAGAGTACAGTGGGTGCTATAAATCACGTTGCGACGAACTCTGTTTTGTCTTATTAACGTGATAGCAGATCCCCATTGCAGCAACCGTGCGTGTGCAATGCCGAATCACTTGAAGCTTCTGCATCCCCAGTTTCCCTGTCAAATGCAATATACTAAAACAAAACGGAAACTTATGTGCCGCCAATAGTGATATATTAACCATTCACGAGTAATTAGATTTTGTATCGCGTAATTAATTCACAAGCATTAACTCTCATAAAACTCTATCGCGCTGATTGCGGACTGAATGTTACAGGCGGCGTTTGTCCACTTTCAACGACCAGCAAACAGCCGGCATCAGGGAGGTAATCGACGTGGCATGCATCCAGCGGCAGGAGGACAACCGCGGACTCCAGGAAGGAGCGCTCACTTCGCAATGCAGGCGTACGCGCCACCCCATCAATATACGGATCGTACCTGGACTGGATCTGGTCTTAATCACGGAAGCGTTGGCTGCTGTGAACAAATGGACAGACGGGCAGGAAGGCTGGTTTGGTCTACTTTTCAGGCGTGAAAACACTAATATTCGCAAAAACCCGTCACAAACAAATTTCACTCTTCGGTTTGGCATGAATGGTGTCGTACAGTAAGAACAAGCATAAGAGTCGACTTGTAGTGTACTGTTACGGCAAATCACTGGGGATAACTGGCACCAAGCCTCAAATATTGGATACGTTGCTGGCAGTTGTAATATGTACGAACCCTGCGTTTCTAGGAATCTACACCTTGCCGCCCCTCAGAGGTGTGTGCTGGCAGGGCCAAATCTTGCTTGGCCGATGGTGCTTTTGAGAGAGATACACTTGCTTTCCATTGCAAGATATCAGCTATAATCGTAAACATTTGCTGTTCGTGTTCAATCATTAACATATCAATGTTGTGAAATTTGCAGTCCGTGTTCTATCAATAAATAATTATCAGCGAAAATTGTGATTACAATATTCATACTACGCTTACAGCATACTATATGGGGTATCTCTATGACATTATGGTTTTTGTTATCTGAAATACTAGTCTGTATAGTAACATGAAATGCTTACTCATTTGTATTTTTCCCGAATTCTATTGCGCGAGCCTTCGGTTTCGGTTGGGACTTGATAGATATCTAGCGCATGATCTGCAAAACGGAGGGTGGCAGGAGCTGCAGAGCAGAGGCCAATGTGTATCGCAGCGCAGAGGGCAGCGGGAGCTGCAGATCGGAGGGCAGTAGGAGCTGCAGAACGTAGGGAGGCCTGTGCTGCAGAGCGGAGTGCAGCAGGAGCAGCAGGAGCGGCAGAGCGGAGGGCGGGCAGATGGAGCTGCAGAGCAAAGGGTTGCAGGAGCTGAGGAGCGAAGGGCAACGTGTGCCGCAGAGCGGAGGGTAGCAGAAGCTGCAACCCGCGGGGCAGCAGGCGGGGCTGAGAGGGGGCCAGCAGCCGGTCAGGACGACGGAGGGGCAGCGACAGCGGGGGCTGGCCATGGGGCAGCAACGTGTCAGGATGGCTGGAGGGACAGCAACCACCAGTGCTGCTTGTGGGGCAGCAGCTGGCGGGCCCGGCTGGGGGGCAGCAGCCAGCGAGGCTGTACGGAAGGCAGCGGCTTGACGGGCTGCGTGGGGGGGAGCGGCCTGCGGGGCCGAACAGGGGGGCCTTGCCGATGGGGTCGACTGGAGCGCAACAGCCAAACCCTATGCTAACACCCCCCCTTGCATCCCATGCGAAACCTGTTTTTGCACGTTCACAGACAGAGGGGGAGCCACACCCCACATGTCGGCCTGCACTGCAGCGGATGCACAACGCCGTGCTCAGGCTCTTGGGTTGACCCGTGACGTCACATAGGACTCGGATTGCGATTGTCTGCCATCACAACAAATCAATTAGAAGGTGTGGGCCGAGGTTCCCACATGGGAATGGGAGCCGTTCTTCGGCATCAAGTTGGTTCCAGGAAAAATCATGCATCACATCCTGCAGCGTGCTCGACTGGGGGTGCTTGACGCACTTTGCTGTGTCTCAAGCGGCTTCTATCGAGCGCGGCTGATGAGGCAGCAACCTTGCTCTTTCTGGCCCTCCCTCGTCTCATATTGGGGACTCCAAGTATGCAAGGCCAGGGGCACAGGGCAGCAATCAGGGAGAGGTTGGAGAAGTTTTGGAGAGGGGAGTGGCAGCAACTGTTCGAGTTGGCGGCGGTGGCAATGCAACCAGCGGCTCGTCCATTGGCCTTCACCCTTTCCGAGCATGACCCCGACGAAGTGCGCTTGGCTTGTTGTCACACGAGGTGCAAAGTGGGGGAATGGAGTCGGGGCCTGGAGTGCCTAATTGCGTGATGCAACCCTCTCAGCTCGTGATCGACTCTCTACGCGCCAAACACCCATCAAGCGAGACGGCCATCCCCGAGTGGGTGAAGGAGTGACACTCGAGCCGTCTCTCATTCCCCAGCTATCAGTGGAGGTGCTCGGCCAGGCGATCCACTCAGCGGCTATGGCGTCTGCACCAAGGCCATCGGGGTGGATGACAGAACACCGCGTGACCCTTTCCTCTCCGAGCACGCATACCTACCGCACCTGCTTGGGGAATTTCACACTGTGGACCAAGAGGGAGATGGCGAAGCGTGTGCGACCTTAGCTCACTGCATCCAACTTGGTGGGACGATCGAACCCGAGTGGTGACGTCCGCCCGGTGGCTATCGGCAACGTGCTCCCCCGCATCCTAGCCCTTGGTATCTCTCCGTGTAATCAGCTTGGAGTCGGGTCCAGGTTGGGAGTTGAAGTCCTGGCACATGCCTTTTGGTCCACTATCTCTACCCATCTCACGTGGTGTGCGCTACAGATTGACGTGGCAAACGATTTCAGCTCTTTCCACCAGC